AGCACCAGCGGGGCCAATAGCTCCGGGGTATCCTATGGTACCTGTTGGGCCGTCAGGACCCTTTTCTCCAGCCTGACCAGCTGGACCTTCCTCTCCCTGGGGTCCGGACTTGCCTCGGGGCCCTCGAGGTCCAACTGAACCGCGAGATCCCTTCTTTCCTTTTTCCCCCATTTCACCGGGTTCGCCGGATGGACCGCGATCACCGCGGATTCCCTTGAAATAGATAAAATATCTTATTATATAGACGTACCACTTGTCTAAAATTGAAAGTATTCGCAACAAACTGTTCAGGTCCTTCTTTGGAAAAACGCATAACGTAGGCTATCATATTCTGCTCAAGCCGAGAAGGATATATATGGCAGGGGGGAAAACAGATACCGTTTAACTTCCCCACCAGTTTCGCAGCACGTCAGCCTAACGTAAGCTACCTTGAGAAAAATATGTCGGTCGAAGGTAAATGGATCTGCAACCGTGAGATTCCGTTCACTTTATAACGGCTGATAGTCGTAACCTAACACTAAGGCAGGCGGATTCAAAGTTCGAATTCGGATTCAGTTAATCATTAGGCAAGCGCATTACCGTTTAAACAGGAGTTCACGCGTCAGGAAGCGTAAAACGGGAACGTTCATGATAAAAATTAGGGATGCTAGCCAGTTCATCCTGATTGCTAGATGATCTGCAGTTTAAAACCACGCCAATAGCTCCTCATATGTCAAACCTCCCGGTTGACCCTATTCAGTCGTCTGTGAAGATTCTGGATAGGAGGCCGCCGCGAAACTGAAGCTGTTTTCAGTCCTTCGAAAGGTAAACAGCGTACTAAGAGGCAAAATGATATCAGTCGATTGTTAGCGCATGATTTTAGGACGCAGTCTCCGGAATGCCTTGTCACTTTTGGCCCTTGGCCGGAAAATTCTGAAAGTTGATTTGTTTTAGCAAATTAAATACCGCAATAACCGACTCATTACTTGTCATCTGTCCCTAGGGGGAGTTTCGATTACATTTTGAAAGACCACGCTTTATCAAGGGATTTTGATTAGGAATTTTAACGCGCGCTTTGGAGCTCCGTGGAGGAGGGTGGGAGGAAAACTGCGAGCAGGTTGAAGGAATTATGAAACGCGCCTAAGAAATGTATCGGTGTTACACTTCCGATTGACATCAATCAGACAAATAAACAGCACCATTGCCCACACAGATATGGACCAGCAACAAAAAATCCGAACCTAATATTCCGTTTGTGGCCAAAATGCTCCCACTGATCGAAAGTAGTGGAGTTTATAGAAAAACCTGAAATTGTATAAACTCCCTCTGTGGCTGTCCGGGTGCGACAACATGCCATTCAGTAAGGTTAGGTTGTGTAACGTTGTAAGGTTTAAAAGACACGGGCCGGCCGCCTTTGTTTATTACCTCAAAGCTATAGGAAAAAGGCTTATGGGTTTTAAGTATTAAATTCATATTATGACATGCACAGGGTTGTTTCATGGTTAATTTTTATTGTCTAAATTCCTTTTATTTAGCGAGAGCTGTTTCTGTTTATCGGTTTAATAACAGTCTCGGTTCGTGTAGGTGGAAATTTTTTTTTTTAATTTTCGTGCACACATTTCGCTTCTTCTCCGCGGTGAGGCCGCAACCTTAAAACCTTCATTACCATAATCCCCGTTTCACATGATCCTGGGCTTAGTGGTGGCTGATGGAACGTACAGAACATCGAAATGAGCGAGCACACGGCGGTCCAACCAACTGTCAGTCATTTGCCTCCATAATGATTTTAGGATGCGTTATTGAAAAAGAAATAATATTATCTGATTAACCAAACTTGTTTTATGCCACTTAGCACCCCTCAATCTACAATGGATGCAGGATGAGTCATATTATGTCCCCCTTTATGCTGAAAATTATTTGAGACTGTAACAAGTATCTAAGTACCCAAAA